GAATTTGGAACTACTAAGATAAAGATAAACTGTTTAACATGGGTGGTACGCGAACAAGGGGACACAGATGGAAACTGAGTACCCAAATGAGCCACAGGGACGTTAGAAAGAACTTTTTCAGTGTCAGAGTAGTTAACAGGTGGAATGCATTAGGCAGTGATGTGGTGGAGGCTGACTCCATAGACAGTTTCAAATGTAGATATGATAGAGCCCAGTAGGCTCAGGAACCTGTACACCAGTTGATTTACGGTTGAGAGGCGGGACCAAACAGCCAGAGGTCCACCCCCGCAAGCACAACTATGTTAGTCACACACACAGTAGCAGAGTGGACAGCATGCAGAACTCGTAATTCTGTGGCCCAGGTTCGATTCCCGGACCAGGCAGAAACAAATGGTCAAAGTTTCTTTCACCCTGAATGTGTAACGGGGTAGAAATATAAGAAATATGAAAAAGAAAGGAATGAATAATGAAGTAATGAGTGAGGGTTTGGGGTGAGGGAAGTAGAGAGGAGGGAGGAGTAGGTGGGAGGAGTGAGGAGTGGAGTCGGGGAGTAACGAGAACTGGTCGGGTGGAAGGGAAAGTGGGAGAGAGGCGGAGGGAGAGGAGAGAGAGTAGGAAGTAGTGGTAGAAGGTAGATGAATATAAGTATAAAGTATAAAAGAGTATATAAGTATAAGTATAAAAGAAGGAATATAAATGGCTGCCACCATCAATTCTAGTTCATTACATACTAGGCAATGAATGGAACTTGTCTGTACTCTAAGCTCTTATCAAAAGTTACTTTAGCATGTATCAACTGGAATCCTGTATCCTGTTCCATGCAAGATTCTTTAAGTCAATAAAATCAGAGACACTCTCGCCTCAACTGACAAAGTTCTAGGGGAACCAAATTAAAGACAAGTCTAACAATAAATTCATCAATTATATTTAACATGATCTATATATATCAAAATTCTGGAAATTTTACTTAAGGTTCACTATGTCAAGATAAAATACAATGTGAGTCACCACACAAGACTTTGAGACGAGTACATCTGTGTGCCGCTGTTGATCACACAACACCTTAGTAAACACCAACTAAGTCACCTTAACGTTCACTCACCCAAGGACTGCCTAAGTTGAATGTAGTCCGGCCGGGAGCCTGTCTCGGCTGCTGCTGATGCACTGCAGTCTGCTATGCTATGTTATGCTATGCTCTCCTCTGCTCTCCAATGTACAGTTCCCTGGGTATTTATTACGAACCGAGGAGCTAAACCCCGCTCACTAAGTAGATGCCCCCAGGCCATCCACCATGCCACGCCTTGACCGGCGGCTTGTTTCATATACACAACCAGCTGCCTGGATACAATTACCGGCATAGTAGATGCAAGGTGAAATCACATGACCTGACCACGGCTCAGTTTGTCGTCAGTAACCCTTGAGAATCTTGAATGTGGTGATCATGTCCCCCCAAACTCTTCTGTCTTCCAACGAAGTGAGGTTCAATTCCCGTAGTCTCTCCTCGTAGCTCATACCTCTCAGCTCTGGTACTAGTCTGGTGGCAAACCTTTGAACCTTTTCCAGTTTAGTCTTATGCTTGACTAGATATGGACTCCATGCTGGAGCCGCATACTCCAGGATTGGTCTGACATATGTGGTATATAATGTTCTGAAAGATTCCTTACACAAGTTTCTAAAGGCCGTTCTTATGTTAGCCAACCTGGCATATGCTGCTGATGTTATCCTCTTGATATGAGCTTCAGGGGACAGGTCTGGCGTGTGTGTGTGTGTGTGTGTGTGTGTGTGTGTGTGTGTGTGTGTGTGTGTGTGTGTGTGTGTGTGTGTGTGTGTGTGTGTGTGTACTCACCTAGTTGTACTCACCTAGTTGTGTTTGCGGGGGTTGAGCTCTGGCTCTTTGGTCCCGCCTCTCAACCGTCAACCAACAGGTGTACAGATTCCTGAGCCTATCGGGCTCTGTCATATCTACACTTGAAACTGTGTATGGAGTCAGCCTCCACCACATCACCCCCTAATGCATTCCATTTGTCAACCACTCTGACACTAAAAAAGTTCTTTCTAATATCTCTGTGGCTCATTTGGGCACTCAGTTTCCACCTGTGTCCCCTTGTGCGTGTTCCCCTTGTGTTAAATAGACTGTCTTTATCAACCCTATCAATCCCCTTCAGAATCTTGAATGTGGTGATCATGTCCCCCCTAACTCTTCTGTCTTCCAGCGAAGTGAGGTTTAATTCCCGTAGTCTCTCCACGTAGCTCATACCTCTCAGCTCGGGTACTAGTCTGGTGGCAAACCTTTGAACCTTTTCCAGTTTAGTCTTATCCTTGACTAGATATGGACTCCATGCTGGGGCTGCATACTCCAGGATTGGCCTGACATATGTGGTATACAAAGTTCTGAATGATTCTTTACACAAGTTTCTGAGTGCCGTTCGTATGTTGGCCAGCCTGGCATATGCCGCTGATGTTATCCGCTTGATATGTGCTGCAGGAGACAGGTCTGGCGTGATATCAACCCCCAAGTCTTTTTCCTTCTCTGACTCCTGAAGAATTTCCTCTCCCAGATGATACCTTGTATCTGGCCTCCTGCTCCCTACACCTATCTTCATTACATTACATTTGATTGGGTTAAACTCTAACAACCATTTGTTCGACCATTCCTTCAGCTTGTCTAGGTCTTCTTGAAGCCTCAAACAGTCCTCTTCTGTTTTAATCCTTCTCATAATTTTAGCATCGTCCGCAAACATTGAGAGAAATGAATCGATACCCTCCGGGAGATCATTTACATATATCAGAAACAAGATAGGGCCGAGTACAGAGCCCTGTGGGACTCCACTGGTGACTCCACGCCAATCGGAGGTCTCACCCCTCACCGTAACTCTCTGCTTCCTATTGCTTAGATACTCCCTTATCCACTGGAGCACCTTACCAGCTACACCTGCCTGTCTCTCCAGCTTATGTACCAGCCTCTTATGCGGTACTGTGTCAAAGGCTTTCCGACAATCCAAGAAAATGCAGTCCGCCCAGCCCTCTCTTTCTTGCTTAATCTGTGTCACCTGATCGTAGAATTCTATCAAGCCTGTAAGGCAAGATTTACCCTCCCTGAATCCATGTTGGCGATTTGTCACGAAGTCCCTTCTCTCCAGATGTGTTACCAGGTTTTTTCTCACGATCTTCTCCATCACCTTGCATGGTATACAAGTCAAGGATACTGGCCTGTAGTTCAGTGCCTCTTGTCTGTCGCCCTTTTTGTATATTGGGACCACATTCGCCGTCTTCCATATTTCTGGTAGGTCTCCCGTCTCTAGTGACTTACTATACACTATGGAGAGTGGCAAGCAAAGTGCCTCTGCACACTCTTTCAGTACCCATGGTGAGATCCCATCTGGACCAACCGCCTTTCTAACATCCAGATCCAGCAGGTGTCTCTTGACCTCCTCTCTCGTAATTTCGAACTCCTCCAAGGCCGCCTGGTTTACCTCCCTTACTCCTAGCACAGTGACCTCACCCTGTTCTATTGTGATGACCTCCTGGAACCTCTTGTTGAGTTCCTCACACACCTCTCTGTCATTCTCTGTATACCTGTCCTCGCCTGTTCTAAGTTTCAATACCTGTTCTTTCACTGTTGTTTTCCTTCTGATGTGACTGTGGAGTAGCTTTGGTTCGGTCTTGGCTTTGTTTGCTATATCATTTTCAAAATTTTTCTCTGCTTCTCTTCTCACCCTGACGTACTCATTCCTGGTTCTCTGGTATCTCTCCCTGCTTTCTGGTGTTCTGTTATTCCGGAAGTTCCTCCACGCCTTTTTGTTCAGTTTCTTCGCTTCCATACATGCCCTATTATACCATGGATTCTTCTGTTGCTTCTCGGATTTTTCCCTTTGGGCCGGGATGAACCTGTTTACTGCCTCCTGACACTTTTGGGTAACATAGTCCATCATACCCTGTACAGACTTGTCTCTGAGGTCTGTGTCCCAAGGTATTTCACTTAGGAAACTTCTCATCTGTTCATAATTCCCCTTTCGGTATGCCAGCCTTTTGATTCCTAGTTCTTTTTGGGGGGAGATAAGTCCTAGCTCTACCAGGTACTCAAAGTTCAATACACTGTGGTCACTCATTCCCAAGGGCGCTTCCATCTTAACTTCCCTTATATCCCATTCATTTAGGGTAAATATCAAATCAAGCATTGCTGGTTCATCTTCTCCTCTCATTCTTGTTGGCTCTTTGGTATGCTGGATGTGTGTGTGTGTGTGTGTGTGTGTGTGTGTGTGTGTGTGTGTGTGTGTGTGTGTGTGTGTGTGTGTGTGTGTGTGTGTGTGTGTGTGTGTGTGGTGTGTGTGCGTGTGTGGTGTGTGTGTTAGAGAGAAATATATGTAGTAGACATAAGAGAAAAAATAGATTAGAAAGGTGGGGTCAAGAGCTAATAGCTCGATCCTCCAGACACATATATTAAAACGTTCACACCAAGTAAACAGTTTTCATTTAGCGTGAGAGTAGTGGGGAACGGAACGAACTAAAGGAGCAGATTAGGAAGCAAACTCTATGCAGGCGATGAGTCACAATAACGTGGCTGAAGTATGTTGACCAGACCACAAGACCTCAAGACAATCGACTTGAGAATGGTCCAGGACGGACCGAAACGTCGTCGTCCCTTCAATTTCTAGTGTGTGGTCTGGTCAACAAGCAAACTATCATTTTAAAAGTAGAAATGATAGGGAAATAGGATATTGTTGTAAACAACCGGAGGCTTGAAAGGCAGGGTCCAAGAGCTAATGCTCGATCCTGAAGGCAGAAATAGGTGAATACACCCACACACCCCCACCATTACCTGGGTGACACAAATAATGTATATGTCACACTGATGATTCAAACATTCTAGGAGGCCTACATGGCACCCCTTTCAACCCTTGACACTTGAGTATCATATCTGAAGCCCGTGTGGCACTCTTGACACCCGTGTGGCGCCCTTGACACCCGCGTGACACCCCTGGCACCTGTGAGGTACTGACCCTGGAGTAGGAGCAGCCGGGCAGGTGACACTGGGACACGATGTACCCGGCACGCCCACCGCCCTGCACGGACCCTGGTAGTCTACGGGCACATAGTGGGCGTGGGCGTGGCACTCTGACGCCCACGTCCGCCCGTCACGCCCACACACCTCACCTGACGACGAGCACCTTGTCTGAAACAATATAAGATATAATTACACTTGAGTTTATGTCTTGTCTATGTATCACAGGGGACTGTAGGGGTGAGTGTATGTGATGCACACACACACACACACACACACACACACACACACACACACACACACACACACACACACACACACACACATACACACACACACACAGTGTGTGTGTGTGTGGCTGTGCTGGTGAAAGAACCCCTAAAGGTAAGAGAGTTAATAATTGAAAACTCCTGGGAATTTGACTTAATGACATTGCAGGTCTAGAATCAGCATGATAAACTAATCGCAAATGCCTACAGCCCACCAACAAGCAACACTATGGACAAAGAAGGAACTGGATGACAAACGAGAGGTCCCCATAATGGTCACGCGAGAGATTATAGCAAAAGCAGATAAACATATATGACGATTGTTAGTCCTGGGAGACTTCGACTTCAAAACAATAGACTGGGACGCCTACGAAGCATGAATGGAGAATATTTGAACAGGCAGATTTGTTAACCTCATTCTGGAGACATTCTTGTATCAAGACGTCAAGCAGGCCACAAGAGTGAGGGAAGGGGATGTTCCGTCAGTACTGGATCTAATATTCACCAAGAAAGAGGAAGAGATATTTGACATCCAGTACCGCCCTCCCTTGGGAAAGAGTGATCACGTCCTCTTGGAAGTCAAATATGCTTTGCGATATAATCTAGTAGAGAATGGGGACATTGAAACACTTGAGAAACTCGACTTCAAGAGGACACCATTGGGAACTTTGAATTTTTTTAATGAGTTTAATTGGACAGACTTGTTGCTAGGCAGGGAAGAAAATGAGATGAGTGCCAAATTTTGTGAAATATATGACAAAGGCACACAAACAGTCATACCAAAACAGAGATGCAGGACCAGAAAACAGGATTGGTTCAAAAGAAATAATGAGAGGGCAAGAAAGGAAAAGATAAGAAAATGGGTACAATATAGGAAGAGGCCTGACCCACAAACATACCATCACAACAAGCAAGCAAGAAACAATTACACAGCAGTGAGGAGAGAAGCAGAAAGTAACTTTGAGAAAGGTATAGCAGACAAATGTAAAACAGATCCAGGCCTTTTCTATAAATTTTTTAAAAGCAAACTGCATGTAAAAGATAAAAGAAACGAACAGGACTACTGAGAATGAAAAAGAAATGTGTGAAACGGTAAATAAACAGTTCCAAGGTGTGTTTGTACAAAATGAAGATTTCATAAAAACGTACTCAATTCCAATTGCAGAGCACGCCAGAGAATACATAGAGGTATCCCAAGATGAAGTTGAAAAATTACTCAAGGGGACAGAAAGAAATAAAGCAGTTGGACCTGATGGAGTTTCACCTTGGGTGCTGCGAGAATGTGCAACTGAGCTGAGCATTCCACTCTAATTAATATTCCAGACATCCATGTGCACAAGAATCTCAGCAGATATACGGAAAAGGCAAACACAGTACCACTCTATAAAAATGGTAGTCGAGATGAACCTCTAAACTGTAGACTCGTATCATTAACAAGCGTGGTAGTCAAAACACTAGAAACAATAGTTATAGCCAAATAGGTTGAACATCTAGAGAGTAATGACATAATAACGGACAGACAGTATGGTTTATGAACAGGAAGATCCTGTGTAACAAATCTACTTAGTGATTATGATAGAGCCACAGAGATATTACAGGAAAGAGCTGGTTGGGTTGACTGTGTCTCTCTGGACCTAAAAAAGGCTTTTGACAGAGTCCCACACAAGAGGCTGTTCTGGAAACTGGAACATGCTGGAGGAGTGACAGGGAGACTGCTGACATGGATGAACAATTTACTAACTGACAGACAGATGAGGGCAGTAATCAGAGACAATGTATCTGACTGGAGGAGTGTTACCAGCGGAGTACCACAAGGTTCAGTTCTTGCACCAGTAATGTTCATCGTCTACATAAACCATCTACCAGAAGGAACACAGAATTATACGAACATGTTTGTTGATGATGCTAAGATACTGGGGAAGACAGGTGACGCAGACCATTGTAATGTCCTTCACATTGATCTAGATAAAATAAGTGCCTGGAGCGTCAAGTGGCAAATGGAATTCAATGTGAATAAATGCCATGTTATTGAACGTGTAATCTGAGAAAATAGACCACACACAACTTACAAATTATGTGGCAAGGAATTACAGAACTCTAATATAGACCGAGACCTGGGGGGGGGGGAGGGGGGGTGTTGAGGATAGTAAACTGTCGTCAGAGGAACACATAAAGAACATTGTGAGAGGCGCGTGTGTGTCGCTTTCCAACTTCACACTTGCTCTTATTTACATGGAGGGTGAAACACTAAAGAAACTGTTCATGACTTTTGTGAGACCAAAGTTAGAATATGCAGCAGTTGTATGGTGCCCAAACCTTAAGATGAACATAAACTCACTGGAAAAGATGCAAAGGCATTCCACAAAATGGCTCCGGAACTGAAAAACAGGAGCAACGAGGAGACACTAGAGGCGTTAATCATGCCAAGACTAGACGATAGAAGAGAGGTGATATGATCACCACTTACAAAATATTAACAGGAATCGACCCAATTCACAAAGGGGAATTCCTGTAAACAGCAACTACAAGGGAACACAGATTTGAGCTTAGGAAACAAAGGTGCCGAAAAACCAGAGTTTCTTTGACAGACAGAGTGGTAGACGGCTGGAGCCAGCTAGGTGAGAAGGTGGTGCAGGAAACATTGTTGTTCAGGAGACGGCCACCAGCTGGCCGTCTGCCTCGACACCTGCCAATGTTAACAATCCGACCGATCAGCTGACAGGTGTAAACAATCCGGCCGATCAGCTGACAGGTGTAAACAATCCGACCGATCAGCCGACAGGTGTAAACAATCTTAGCGATCAGCTGATAGAGGTAACCAGTTCTGGCTGGTCACTTAGTAAGTGTAAAGAACTTGGCCAGTTAGGCGATGAATGCCAACACTACTTGTCAGCTGTTAGAGGTAAACAACTATTAGCCCCAGGTAAGCCAGCCACCTGTTGCACCAGCTGCACCTTCTAACCCCAGGTAAGCCAGCCACCTGTTGCACCAGCTGCACCTTCTAACCCCAGGTAAGCCAGCCACCTGTTGCACCAGCTGCACCTTCTAACCCCAGGTAAGCCAGCCACCTGTTGCACCAGCTGCACCTTCTAACCCCAGGTAAGTCAGCCACCTGTTGCACCAGCTGCACCTACTAACCCCAGGTAAGCCAGCCACCTGTTGCACCAGCTGCACCTTCTAACCCCAGGTAAGCCAGCCACCTGTTGCACCAGCTGCACCTTCTAACCCCAGGTAAGCCAGCCACCTGTTGCACCAGCTGCACCTACTAACCCCAGGTAAGCCAGCCACCTGTTGCACCAGCTGCACCTTCTAACCCCAGGTAAGCCAGCCACCTGTTGCACCAGCTGCACCTTCTAACCCCAGGTAAGCCAGCCACCTGTTGCACCAGCTGCACCTTCTAACCCCAGGAAAGCCAGCCACCTGTTGCACCAGCTGCACCTTCTAACCCCAGGTAAGCCAGCCACCTGTTGCACCAGCTGCACCTTCTAACCCCAGGTAAGCCAGCCACCTGTTGCACCAGCTGCACCTTCTAACCCCAGGTAAGCCAGCCACCTGTTGCACCAGCTGCACCTTCTAACCCCAGGTAAGCCAGCCACCTGTTGCACCAGCTGCACCTTCTAACCCCAGGTAAGCCAGCCACCTGTTGCACCAGCTGCACCTTCTAACCCCAGGTAAGCCAGCCACCTGTTGCACCAGCTGCACCTACTAACCCCAGGTAAGCCAGCCACCTGTTGCACCAGCTGCACCTTCTAACCCCAGGTAAGCCAGCCACCTGTTGCACCAGCTGCACCTTCTAACCCCAGGTAAGCCAGCCACCTGTTGCACCAGCTGCACCTTCTAACCCCAGGTAAGCCAGCCGCCTGTTGCACCAGCTGCACCTTCTAACCCCAGGTAAGCCAGCCGCCTGTTGCACCAGCTGCACCTTCTAACCCCAGGTAAGCCAGCCACCTGTTGCACCAGCTGCACCTACTAACCCCAGGTAAGCCAGCCACCTGTTGCACCAGCTGCACCTTCTAACCCCAGGTAAGCCAGCCACCTGTTGCACCAGCTGCACCTTCTAACCCCAGGTAAGCCAGCCACCTGTTGCACCAGCTGCACCTTCTAACCCCAGGTAAGCCAGCCACCTGTTGCACCAGCTGCACCTTCTAACCCCAGGTAAGCCAGCCACCTGTTGCACCAGCTGCACCTTCTAACCCCAGGTAAGCCAGCCACCTGTTGCACCAGCTGCACCTTCTAACCCCAGGTAAGCCAGCCACCTGTTGCACCAGCTGCACCTTCTAACCCCAGGTAAGCCAGCCACCTGTTGCACCAGCTGCACCTTCTAACCCCAGGTAAGCCAGCCACCTGTTGCACCAGCTGCACCAACTAACCACAGGTAATCCATCCCGGATTCGATTCCCGGAAGTATTGAAATGGTTGGGCACTTTTCACCTAATGCCACTGTTCACCTAGCAGTAAATAGATACCCAGGAGTTCGGCAACTATTGTGGGGGCTGCATCCTGGGGAGGGGGGGGGGAGTCAGTGGTTCCGTCTTAGAAGAGACAAGGATACAAGCCTGTATCCTTGGATATATATATATATATATATATATATATATATATATATATATATATATATATATATATATATATATATATATATATATGTCGTACCTAATAGCCAGAACTCACTTCTCAGCCTACTATTCAAGGCCCGATTTGCCTAATAAGCCAAGTTTTCCTGAATTAATATTTTTACTATAATTTTTTTCTTATGAAATGATATAGCTTCCCTTTTCACTATGTATGAGATCAATTTATTTTTATTGGAGTTAAAATTAACGTAGATATATGACCGAACCTAACCAACCCTACCTAACCTAACCTAACCTATATTTATAGGTAAGGTTAGGTTAGGTAGCC